TTGAAAAATTAGCCAGCTATGAGACAATGATAGGTGACTGTATTCTTTGCAAATAAGCCTGTGTGTGTAGTTTTTTGGGATTTTTTTTTATCAGTGCTAAAATAAAAGTAAAGCTGAAAAGCCACAAATTTGGTTTATATTTTTCTGTCTCCCTCGATGAGGGAGGAACCAAGTATTTAAAAATCTGAAGTCCACATAATGCTTGCTCTTGTGGAAAAAGAAGAGAGGAAAAACTAAAATGGTTTAAAAATTCCTCAACCCTATTTATCTGATGCCTTTTCTCTCTAAAGAGCTCCCCCATCCTTTCCATTAAATAATCAAGGCCTTAATGGTTTGTTCTGTCATTGTCCTGATGTAGCTCTAGTCATCCACTCAGGGGAAAGAGAAACAATATTATGTGACTCACATGACTAATCACATAGCAGAAATGACAAATACATGAATATTTGTAACCATCACTTTGTGAGAAAGTCACAGACTAACAAATGTTTGCAAAACGGTATTCCTTGAACAGTATTTAAAAAAAGTTGCTCTACTTATCACACCACTCCCATCTGTTGCACTTTCTGCCACAGTGCCAGCTGTGGATCTCTACCTGTTCTATCTATGTGCCTGGAACTTGTGCTCATCATTCTGAGCTTTCTCCCAAGACTGATTGTACGTATGCCCACTGACGCCAACCCCTAGAGCTGATGGTGAAAGTAAGAAAGAGTGCAAAGCAGTATCCACTACTGCCTATGTGAAAATAACCCCCTCCTTTGATAGGTGATACTCAAGTTCTTAATCAAAGTTTGATTCTTGATTAGTGTTCTGAGCTTCTTGTTTGCAGGATGAAGCTAGTTCATTAATCCCAGAGTCACATTTTACTTAAACATTTACCCTTTTAGAATTTTGAGGAAATTACACAAATGCATAATGTTGGAATATATATTTAGTAGGATGCACTCTAACATGATATCCTCAGACCTTTCCCATCCATGCAGTAATATTCTATATATAGTGTAAGAATTTTCAATTTACAAAAATGCAACTACGTAATCCTTAGATAATTCTGAACAGAAAATGACATTCTCCTAGATTTCTAAGTTAAAAAAAAAATTCAGCCAAATACACATCTTACACAGAAATGCTCTGTAATTTAGAATAAGTAATATTCTTTTGAAATATGCTCTAGCTCAACCACACTATATGGCTTTGATGCAGGAATTACTGAGTGAAATTCTTTATGCAGGAGGTCAAACTAGATGATCAAAATGGTTCATTATGGCCTGGAACTCTATGAATTTATGAAAATGTAAGAAACCAAAATATACACTGCCCAGTTCATCCCCCCAAAGTGGGCTGGAATAAAAAGGAATATCATCATGTAACTAAAGAGCATTCAGGTGAAATTTGTATAGAGTATTTAAATATGAAGCATTGTCAGGCTTCAGTGGTGAAATTCCCAAAGTCATGTCTCCCTCTGCTCTGGGGCATGGACACTACTGGGTGAGTGTAGGGTTGCCAGCTCTCCGGTTTTCGACGGCAGCTGTTAAAAGTCCAGTTGGTGATGCAGGGGGGCTAAGGCAGGCTCCCTGCTTGTTCTGGCTCTGCGCAGCTACCCGGAAGTGGCCAGCATGTCCGGCCCCTAGGCACAGGGGCAACCAGGGAAGCTCCCAATATCAAGCGGAGTGCCCCAAAGGTCGGTCCTGGGGCCAGTTTTGTTCAAGATCTTCATTAATGATCTGGAGGATGGCGTGGACTGCACCCTCAGCAAGTTTGCAGATGACGCTGTAGTAAGATGAGGCCCTGAAACATAAACTCTTGTATCAAAGGCCCAGTCTGAGGCCTGAACCAAAGTACTTCCAGGCATTGCTAAGCAAAAGTTGGGCTGTGAGCCAGAGGCAGGCCCCACTCACAGAAGTTGCCGAGAAGAGAGTTGTTAGAAGCAGGCGCATCCATACATAAGTGCTAATAAGAGGAACTTGTGCCAAGATGGCATCAGAACACTCCACAGAGCTAACAAGGAACAGGCAGGTGCATCTTAAAGACAGGGTCAAAAGGACAACATGATGGATAGGTTTGTTTGAACCAACATGGTCAAAGAGAGAGACAGCCCCCAATGAGTAAAGGGGCTGTACTTCAATACGTCAATAGGAATGAGTAATCTGGCCTGTAACTGTATAAAAGTAGGGCCCAGAGTCCACATCTTTGTCAGGCATAGGGGGCAGTGGAAAGTCCCGCCACTTACTGAGCCGGTCCATTGCAAAGGAGTACAAATTCATAGTATGTTTTTGTAGAGTCCACGGGAAACTATTACTGTGCTTCGTTTGACAATAAACCTGGCTCGGGTTCCTTCGTACCTTACTAGAGTCTGGGGTCTTTGGGGGTTCTCTTGGGGTTTGCTGTGTCAGCTATCTGTGCAGAACTGGGGCAGCACACAGAGGGAACACGCACGCAGCCAACTGTTATCATCATCGAACAAGAGCAGAGCACCACACCGGTAGCCACTGACAGCAGACGCTAAACTGGGAGGAGTGGTAGGTACACTGGAGGGTAGGGATAGCATACAGAGGGACCTAGACAAATTAGAGGATTGGGCCAAAATAAATCTGATGAGGTTCAACAAGGACAAGTGCCGCGTCCTGCACTTAGGACGGAAGAATCCCATGCACTGCTACAGACTAGGGACCGAATGGCTAGGCAGCAGTTCTGCAGAAAAGGACCTAGAGGTTACAGTGGACGAGAAGCTGGATATGAGTCGACAGTGTGCCCTTGTTGCCAAGAAGGCTAATGGCATTTTGGGCTGTATAAGTAGGGGCCTTGCCAGCAGATTCAGGGATGTGATCATTCCTCTCTATTCGACACTGGTGAGACCTCATCTGGAGTACTGTGTCCAGTTTTGGGCCCCACGCTACAGGAAGGATGTGGAGAAATTGGAAAGAGTCCAGCGGAGAGCAACAAAAATTATTCGGGGGCTGTAGCACATGACTTATGAGGAGAGGCTGAGGGAACTGGGATTGTTTAGTCTACAGAAGAGAAGAATGAGAGGTGGGGGGGGATTTGATAGCTGCTTTCAACTACCTGAAAGGGGGTTCCAAAGAGGATGGATCTAGACTGTTCTCAGTGGTACCAGATGACAGAACAAGGAGTAATGGTCTCAAGTTGCAGTGGGGGAAGTTTAGGTTGGATATTAGGAAAAACTTTTTCACAAGGAGGATGGTGAAGCACTGGAATGGGTTACCTAGGGAGGTGGTAGAATCTCCTTCCTTAGAGGTTTTTAAGGTCAAGCTTGACAAAGTTCTGGCTGGGATGATTTAGTTGGGGATTGGTCCTGCTTTGAGCAGGGGGTTGGACTAGATGACCTCCTGAGGTCCCTTCCAACCCTGATATTCTATGATTCAGCGTGCTGCCCCCGCCCCCAGCGCCAGCTCCGCAGCTCCCATTGGCTGGGAACCACAGCCAATGGGAGCTGTGTGGGCGACACCTGCAGGTGTGGGCAGCACACATAGCGTAGAGCCGCCTGGCTGTGCCTCCGCTTAGGGGCCGGACATGCCGACTGCTTCTGGAAGCCTGCCTTAGCCCTGCTGCATCACTGACTGGAAGCTGCCTGAGGTAAGGGCTGCCCAGCTGGAGCTCGCACCCCAAACCCCCTGCCCCAGGTCAGAACCCCCCCGTACCCTAACTCCCTTCCAGATACCACACCCCCACCTGCACCCCAACCCCCTGCCCCAGGTCGGAACCCCCTCCTGCACCCAAACTCCCTCACAGACCCCAACCCCTTCCCCCAGCCCTGAGCGCCCTCCCAGAGCCTGCACCCCCTTCTGCACGCCAAACCCCTTGGCCCATGCCAGGAGCCCCCTCCTGCACCCCAAATCCCTCAGCCCTACCCCAGAGCCCACACCCCCAGCTGGAGCCCTCACCTCCTCCTGCACCCCAGCCCCCAGTCCAGTGAAAGTGAGTGAGGGTGGGGGACAGCGAGTGATGGAGGGTGGGGGGCTGGAGTAAGTGGGGGGTGGGGCCTCGGAGGGGCAGGGCAAGGGTGTTCCTTTTTGTGCAATTAGAAAGGTGGCAACCCTAGGTGAATGGGGTGAAAGCAGATTCTGCAAGATGCACTATAGGTGCACTTGAAATCTGTTTCCCATGTGGGAAGTTTCTGTGGGTTTCTCTGTACCTGTTGGAATTTAGCACCCTCTTTTGACTGGGGATGCAAATAACTGGGAGTGGGGAGCTGTTTCTGATGAATACCCCACTTAGAGTTTGCCTAACAGGTGACCAGGAATACAAAGTGCTAGAGATTTTAGGCCGGAGTGCTCAGAATTTGGACTCCGATTCCTCTTTGCAAATACCCAAGAACAGCTGCCAAGATACATTCTGTGCAACCTGAGCAGCGCTGTACTTTCTGCCAGGCACCAGGTACTGCAGCACAGACTAGCACAATTCTGCCCTCTTGGCTGGGTTTCTTCTTTCTCCATTTCCTTCTGACACTAAAGACCCCTATACTGAGCAAGGGAAAGAAACACTAGCTGCGGGAGCCTCAGAAGGAAAAGTCTAGGGTGATTTAGGAGGAGGATCACACTGGGAGCTCTGCACTCACTACAAGGGGTCAAGGCAAAATTAGAGTAGGGCGGGGGAATTTGGTTCTAAAGGGTCAGTCTATTTTTTTCTGCTCTCCCCCCCCCCACACACTTATTTTTAATTGTTGTAGAGAAAGAAATGCAGGAAGGAAAAACTCTGTGTGGAGTGAGGACAGGAACAGCTGGAGTTTTCCTTGCAAGAGGGTGGGGAGCAGGGGAGGCTGTGTTAGCTGTATCGTGAGTCCTCAGAGCACCTCTGCTCTTGCTCGGCAGCTTGGGCTGCACGCTGCCGTCTCAAAGGTCGCTTGTGATAAACATAGGGCCTCTCCCCTCCGCCCCCCAACCTTGGCTGCTACGGCTTTGGCTGTGACACTCAGTCTTTTCCATGCTGGAGAAGTAGTAGCGAGCAATGTGATAGACAGAGGGGGACGCTGCTGCCTTGGCTGGACCTGCTGCTGCAACCATGTGTCTCTCTCTCTGGCTGTGACACAGTAACAAGGAAATTGGTGGGATCTTTCTTTATCTCCACAAGGGAAAGGTGACCCGCACAAAGGTAAGCGAAAGTGAGGCGTGGATCTTCTGTAAGCAACTGGCAGTGACGCAGTGTCCCTTGACATAAGCAGACGGGGAAGTCAGTCTCCTCAGAAAGGCTTTTTGCAAAGGGTCGGGAAGCTGAGCTGAAAGCGTGTTTCCTTTGAGCTGTCAAAAATAAATTGCATGCAGGCGTTTAAAAGCTCAGCTCTCTGTTTGGAGAAGCCAGGCAAGTAGCCATGCAGCGATGTGCTGCAAACTAAAAATCACCCATGCAGCTTTGCAGCGCTGGGAAACGCAATCAAACTAACCGATCGATGGGACTTAATTAAAACGGGGCATATCCCGCAGGAGACTGGAACTGGGCTGAAATGTTCCCTTTAAGATTTGCAGGACAGGAAGGGGATTTTAATAGGGGTGGGGGAGGGGTTGGAATGTATTTATGTTGTTATTTAACCTAACCTAGTTGTCATTTAACAAGCATATTAAACCAGCCCAGTCATCCAGTGCGGAGAGCTGCAGCCTCCCTTAGCCCTGTTGTGTTGTATGTCCCCGGCAGGCTGGCAGCGATGGAGGAGGACATGGGCAGCATGCAGGAGAAGGCTGCTGAGCTGGAGCACATGGCTGAGGTCTTGCTCACTGGGGAGCAGTTACGGTAGGAGATGGCTCCTTCCTCCCGCACAAACATTACTACAGACTCTAAAAGGGGTAGGGTGACCAGATATCCCGATTTTATAGGGACAGTCCCGATTTTGGGGTCTTTTTCTTATATAGGCTCCTATTACCCCCCACCCCCGTCCTGACTTTTCACACTTGCTGTCTGGTCACCCTAAAAAGGGGAAACTCCTTTACTCCTGTGTTTAAGGAAATTGCTGTTAAATGGGCAGTTTTTTTGTTTTTTTTTACTTCACAGCGGTGCAAATCTGGATTAACTCCATTTAAATCAATGGCTCAAATTTTGCTCTCGGTTGCACAGGTGCAATCCTGTAGGGTCTGATTCTGGTCTCCCACTGGTGTAAAGCAGAAGTAACTCCACTGATGTCAATGATGTAAACGTGATGTAAGTGACGGCAGAATCAGAACTGCAACCTCGGTGAACTTGTGTGCCTCACCCTCTCTAAACCCATATTATCAGTGCACACACATACCTCTGGCAGACCTGCTAAACCACACACATTTGGGAAATGAAGGGTTTTTGTGTGTGCTTCAATTAGATTCTTAAAAACTCCTGTTTTCAGCCTGTCCCAGCTGCTCAGCTCTGCTGTTTCAGCTAGGAATTGGGCTATCTGTAAATAGTATTGCAGGCCTGGGATAATGAGTTATCTATCATTCCTTGTAATAGTTACTGAGACTGCTACAGTCCAGGGGCAGCTTTCTATTCCATTCTGTTTAGGGTCTTCTAATTTGGTCATAGCTGTACTATCTGAGGACTCTGGGGAAGGTGACAGCAAGTCAGCAAAGAGGTTTTAAAAGGCAAAACCAGAAGAGGAATAATAATTAAAATCAGATTTTAATAGATTTCTGGTCCAGTGTGTCAAATCTGATTGGCACTATAAAAATGATTAAGTTAGATGGATAGAATAAACCTCCATTAAGATCCAGGTTTTTTTAGTCTCTTGGAATTATGCAGAAAGACTTTGGGTCTAACACAATCCTTTTTTTATAGGGTTTTTTTTTTTTTAAATTTTGGATCAGTTGACCAAATTCCTATGCATATCACACAGCAATAAAGAAGAAAATTTTAAAGCTTCCCAATTCTCACTGTTAACATAACTTGTGATTCAGGAAATACAGACGATTGTATGATAGTGGTATAATCAGAAAGACGTAATAGCAGTATGCCAGAAGTTTTCTTCAAATTTTCAGCAAATCATTTAAAATGCTGGTTTAGCATTTTTCATTCATAATTTTGAAAACATTGCTTGATCTGGGAGCCGTTAAGATGAGAACCAAAGTTCCTTGATTTCATCTCAATCGAAGTCAAATATTCAGACTAATGGTTATTACTAAGATCAGTTTGTATTTTAAATTTGTATGTCAATGGTAGTTAAACTAAGAAAATACACTGCTACCTCGATATAACACGACCTGATATAACACGAATTTGGATATAATGCGGTAAAGCAGTGCTCCGGGGGGGGGGGGGCTGCGCACTCTGGTGGATCAAAGCAAGTTCAATATAACGCGGTTTCACCTATAACGCGGTACGATTTTTTGGCTCCCGAGGACAGCGTTATATCAAGGTAGAGGTGTAGTTACTACTAAAGCAGAATGTTTAGGAATCCTCTTCAGTTTTAAGATGCTAGTTCAGAAGACATTTTCATAGCTAGTAGTTGTTTTTTTAGGTTACTTATGCTGGCCAGATCCTCAGCTGGTTTAAATTGGTGTAGTTCCAGAGTAAGTGAAGCATTGCTGATTTGCATCAGATGAAGATCTGGCCCATGGGTTTTGGTTCTTATTCTAAACTGGTATGTATACATGTTCTTAGGACTTAGCTTAGGAAACTTAGCTTAAGCTGTTGGGGCCAAGTTTTTAAAGGTACTTAAGTGCTTAAAGAGGCAGATAGGCAATAGGAGTTAGGCCGGGGGTTCTCAAACTGGAGGTCGGGACCCCTCAGGGGTCACGAGGTTATTACATGGGGGGGGGGGGGTCACAAGCTGTCAGCCTCCACCCCTGACCCCGCTTTGCCTCCAGCATTTATAATGGTGTTAACTATATAAAAAAGTTTTAATTTATTAGGGGGGTCACACTCAGAGGCTTGCTATGTGAAAGGGGTCACCAGTATAAAAGTTTGAGAACCACTGAGTTAGGCTGTCTTGAAAATGCCACTAGGCACCCCTCTGCACCTTTATGCACCTAAAGATGTTCAAAAATCTGGCCCTTGGAGACTCGCCTCACCATTGCTGCAGAAGTTGTAGTGGGGTCAGCCACCTCCCATGCACCCGTTATGGCCGGGGTGCTGCTGTGGTGGTGCCCTGCCAATAGGGTTGCCAACTTTCTACTCGCACAAAACTGACCACCCTTCCCCTGCCCCCTGTTCACTCCATTCCCCCATCCCTCTGTCACTCACTCTCCCCACCCTCACTCACTTGCTCATTTTCACTGGGCTTGCTCAGGGGGGGGGGGTGCAGGAGGGGGCTCCAGGCTGAGGCAGTGGCTTGGGATGCAAGAGAGGGTGAGGGCTCCAGCTGGGGGTGTGGGCTCTGGGGTGGGGCCAGGGATGGGTGGGCTTAGGGTTCAGGAGGGGCTCTGGGCTGGGGGGTTGGAGCTGAGGGGTACAGGGTGTGGGAAGGGGCTCTGGGCTGGAGTGGGGGTTGGGATGCAGGGGGGGGGGCTCCAGCTGGGGTTGCAGGCTCTGGGGTGGGACCGGGGATGAGGAGTTTGGGGTGCAGGAAGGTGTTCTGGGCTGGGATTGATGGGTTTGGAGGGCAGGAAGGGGATCAGGTCTGGGGCACAGGGGTGTGTGTGAAAAGTGGTCCTTCCGGGAGCTTACCCCAGGCAGCTCCTGGAAGCAGCGGCATGTCCCCCCTCTGGCTGCTACGCGGAGGCACGGCCAGGTGGCTCTGTGTGCTGCCCTGTCTGCAGGCGCCGCCCCCACAGCTCCCATTGGCCACAGTTCCTGGCCAATGGGAGGTGCGGGGATGGTGCTTAGGGCAGGGGCAGCGTGCAGAGTCCCCTGGCTGCCCCTATGTGTATAAGCTGGAGTGGGGACATGCCACTTTTTCCCAGGAGCAGCGCGGCACGGAGGCTAGCAGGGAGCCTGCCAGCCCCACTCTGTGGCGCCGCCAACCAGACAGTCAATGGCCTGGTCAGCAGAGCCTCCAGAATCCCTTTTCGACCGGGTGTTCCAGTCAAAAAACAGACACCCGGTCACCCTACCTGCCAATGATTTTCCCCTCAAAGGGCTTCTTAAATAAACATTTCCTGCAGATTCCTGAATTTCCCTCCTGCTGACTTGGGGTCCTGCAGGAGCCCTTTTGCTCCCTGTAGCATCTATATAGATGGGGCTTATTCTGTAATCAGGGCTGCCTTACCTGCAGGTTCTCCAGCCCGTGGGGCAAGCCATCCTGCTATAGTAATAATATGTTACTTATTTTTACATGATGCTACCAGAGAAAATAAAGACAGTCTGTACCCCTATAAATCAATGGGGATCCACATGGATGGAAGGACCCACTCTTGTGAATCTGATTCCAGGATTCGGGCCTAGGTTTATCTCTGAATTTGTATCCCCCTCTGATACAAATATTTGTGTCTTATTTTTTCACTGTCTAGATCTTCTGGGCAACAGAATAGGTTTGTTAGCTGCACATTTTGTTTCAGAAAATAAGGGCCGCCAATATGTGGTAGCAAATGGGGTGGTAGACAAGTTTTGGCCAATGGTATATTTGTGGTTTCCTTTTCTTTTCCCATCTAAGAGAGAAGTATATAAACAACTTGCCTGGTTGCCTCAAAGAGGAAGATATTACAATAAAGGTATTATAGATATGTATAGAACAGACAAACTGATGCTAGAAAATTACAATAAAAACAGATTCTGAAGAAACATACTGTAGTCAGTTCTTAGGGATGCTTACAAACATTACATAAGACCTTAGAAGAGATGATTTAGTGACTGGTGATTATGTGGATAAAATGTGTATGAGTAAGTGCTACATACTTCAGGATCAGGGGGTAGCCGTGTTAGTCTGTATCCAGAAAAACAACAAGGAGTCTGGTGGCACCTTAAAGACTAACAGATTTATTTGGGCATAAGCTTTAGTGGGTAAAAAACCTCACTTCTTCAGATGCATGGGATACTTCAGGAGGACTGCCAGTGTTCCCTCTGATTTTTCCCATCCGTGTGCAGAATGAATTTTGCTATGTGCACCAATATGGAGATGATGGGTGGCAGGGGTAGGGCTGAGGGGCTTGGAGTGTGGAAGGGGGCTCAGGGCTGGGGCAGAGGGTTGAGGGGCAAGGGGGCGAGGGCTGTGGTTGGGGGTGCGGGCTTTTGGGTGGGGCTGGGGAAAGAGGACTCCCCCTCCCCCGCCCCAGCCCTCTTTCCCCACAGCAGCACCTGGGCTGGGGCTGCGGGAGGGGCGCCTCTCCCTGCCGCAGCCGCTCCGGGGCTGGAGGAGTTAAGTGCGCGGCCTTTCATAGCATCCTGCGTGGCCGCACAGGCGTGCACCTTAGCAGGAACTTAGATGACTGCATACCTCAGGCATGACAGAATAAAAGGAAAACACAAGAGGGGTACAGGGTTATGCAAAAAAAACCCTATGAAAATTAGGTGTTTATAATTATACTCTCGGTTTATTTGTAAACCAGATCAGTGTGTGTGACTTCATTCACATATTGGAAATAACTTCATTAAAAGTTCTTTGTGGATGTGTAAGGTGATGGTGGGTCATGCCACGTACCTTGATTAGCTATAATAATAACCGTTTAGGACCCAATAGTTCCTTCTACTTTTAGAAGTGGTGGATATCTAAGCAAATATCTGACTAAATTACTGTTGCAAGAATGCATGACCAATGGGAGCATAGCTCCTGAAGAAACCATGATCTCAGTTGGAAGGAGGCCCAGAGGAGCAGTGCAGAGGGTCCAGCCTTCTACAGGACTGGGGTTTGGAAGCTGCAAACCTGCCTCCTCACTAGGGTCCCAATGCCTCTC